ATGCACACACATAAATCCATGCCAAAATATTCAGAAACCTTTGAAACGTAAAGATATATAAAAATGTTCATTTTTGATTTTTTACGATTACTATAATTTACCATATGGGTAGTTAATAATAAAAACCCTAACAAAGGTAATGCATCCGACTTAAAACCGAAATGTTTCAGTGGCACTTCGCTCGTTGCCTCGTTAGAAAAGGTTTGAAACTCCTATCACATAATAATTATTCGCCACATCGCGCGGATGAACGCGCGAATGAATCGACTCCTCATATCCCAATTTATAGGTTCGATATATATTGATCATTAGACAGTACGAACAGTATACTTTATTACAGTCATAATAAAAATAGGATGACTGCGATACCTTGCGCAAAATCGAGATAAAATATAGGCATCTCTATATAAATAAGTATAGACTCGAGCGCAGCATCAAATGATTGAGTTCGACCCAATCACAAAACCTTGCAAATTTAAATAAGCAATAATTATATAACATAAATGTTATCATATATATTATGTCGATAATTAATTTTTTAAATTATGAGGCTTCCGAAGACTCGAGGCAAAAGTTGTTAATCCAGTTTCGACGGAGCAGGATTTCGAAGCGAGATAATAGAATTTTATTACATTTCTGGCTTTATTATATGCCATTTTAGTTTTTTGTGAGTTATAGGTTTATATTATAATGATTATAAAACTGACTTACATTTTGAGCAATAATGTATTCCAGGCAGGATGTTACAAGCTCATTTTGAAGCTCCAATCAAGTTTTCGCCCAAAAGCTGGAAAGAAAAAAAGTGTATGAGAATGGTAAAAATATTTTAAGTTGAATTAAATAAAGCTAAAAATTAGATAAAAATTTGTTGTTTTTTGCCTTTTTGTTATAAAAATATAAACATAAAACGTGAAATTTATTTGGATACACTTCGTTTCATTAGTTCATTAGTTTAGTAAAATTACTCAAAAATTTATCTATTTACCGACATAACGTGCGAGTTTTTTTCGTAAAAATTATACCAAAATATCAGGTTTTCTTGTTTCAGATTTTTTTATAAATTAAAGACAATCTTTAAGTAACAGTTAGTCATTCACTACATAAGTAATTATCATTAATTTTTTAACGCGAATTTGCAGCAAATATATATACCTATTTATGGGTTTCCTTATTACCGGAATATTACTGTTGCTTTAGAAACATAAGGAAAAATCGAAAAATCGTTTAGGAAAATAAACTTATAAAATTAGTACTTAAAACAGTAAACATCTAAAGCTAGAGTTATTTTTAAATATAACATTAAGTGAATGCAAAATTTAATTTTTAGTGCGCGTCTAATAAAAAAAAAATATTGATTTTAAAATTAAAAAGTGATATCTTTAAATATTATAATAATTAAATAAAAATTATGAATGTATTAAAATATTATTTTTGTTTTTATTAGTTCTTTAATAACTATTCCTTAGGAATTCATCCCGGAATCGAAACAAAGAAAATATTTATCAATGAAAAATTAACCTAATATTTTTTCAAAGAAAAGCATGCTTGAAAATAATTAAATCAGTGTATAAATATATAATACAATTAATTTTATTTGTTATCAATTGTTATGATCACTGAAGAAGTGTACATCCAACATTCATCAACAAATAATAATTTAAGAAAAAAAAGTTCAGAATTTAATATAATAGATATGAATGAAATTTACCTTTTCTTGCTGACATCCATCGTTGCAATCATTGATCTTCACTTCACTAGCAATTAAAACCGAAAGATATAATTTTTTTCAAAAATATACTTTTGATTATTTCATCCAATTGTTCAATTTAAAGACATATAAACATAATAAACTGATTTTAGAATATTTAAGAATTAATCATTGCAATATAGAAGATCTTATTGACATCAGAAATTCAATATAGACAAAATACTTTCCCATCAATCTTTCTCGGTATTAGTTAATTTTTATGCAAATATTGGGAAGGTATTTAAAATCTACGAGTTTATTTACGGGTGTCGAAAATGTATTTATTTCGACACCACATATTTGCTAAACTCGATTTCATAAAAAAATTGGAATAGTACATTATAAAATTTTATTTAACTAGTAGCATGCTGTTATTGTAGTTGTATAAACAGTTACATTTAAATTTTACTAATCATTAATGAACAAATGGAAATATTTTTCAAAATATTAAAGTTTATAAAAGAGTCGTTTCAGGTTAACGTTCCACAAAGTTGATCTAATATTTTTTTTAATATTTTTTAATATCAATCTGTTGTGATGACTTCTTAAGCGACATGGCTTATTTTAGAAACCCATACGGTTGCGTGAAAACCGATATCACCACTGCTTGACATCAGGCTGTCCGAGGCAGGTTCCAAACTTGGAACTTCTGATTGAAATCCCATAGATTTATTTTACGGGAAAGCGCTTTTTTAATAGAAAAAGTTCAATAATAGTTTGTTTATTATATGCTCTGAAATTAGTAAATCAATAAGTTAATATCATAATCAAAAATAGCTTGTTTTGGTACACTTTATTAAGTAATTGATAAAGTTTGACAAGAGCATTGTGGAACAATTTGAGTGTTTACAATTTTTGTCGAATTGCAAATAAATGCAAATAAATGGAGCATTGCAATTCACATTTTTTTCAAAAATACTATCCATATTCAAGTTCAGAAATAATTTATAATATGCTTAATAAAATACTTTATACATAATATTGCAAAACTATATACTGGTGGCAGTAATTACATAAGGAATGGTATGTGACAATGTATTTACAACTATTTTTATGATACATTGTAATATATTGTTGTAAGTCACAGTAATAAATTTAATATTAAAATTTAATTGTCTTATTAGTGTATAAAGTATTTTTCTTGAAATCATGAGCATATAAAGAACTGGCAATTATATTTAAAGAAATGGCAGTGATACTAACAGAAATTCATGTCGCACTCCCTCAAGCGTCATACGTTTTGACAATATATAAATATTATATAGCTTTCAACTACAATCTTTAACATTTAAAAAAATCTAGAACATCTAACGGTGCATTAATATTTTAATGTTTCAGAAGCCTAAGTAAAGTCACCAGCATATATAACAACGCCACTATAAAAAACTAAATAATTTCTTACTGATAACGTTGTTACATATGCCTATGCTTTAAATAATATTTATTAATTAAATTAACAAATAGCCTTAAAAAGCAACTTCTAAAAATCATTTAAGTGATTTAATATCTATGATATATTACTACATATTCCATTCTACATTATTTCCACCAACCGAAACTTGTATTATTAAATTTTAAACCATATAAAAATTTTATTCATAAGTTTTGCTTGCGGGGGCAACCCAAAATTATCTTTTTTACATTTTCTATAGAATTCGCAATTTGTTGATCTAAGATAAGTTATATGCATTTTAATTACATAATTTAATTAAAGTAATAACTAATTTATGCATAGCTGCTCATTCAAACCCTGGTGTCCATAAATAAACACAACATCAATAAATCTTATAAAAGCACCAATAGCCTGATACTAATCCTATTTCAAGAACCGACTTTTTTCTTCATTTAAAATTATGTTATTAACCCTTTCCACTCGGATGCCGCTGCTCCGGCGGCAAAATACATATATATTTAGCATTTCGCGAGTGGAAAGAGTTAATTCGCAAGAAAATGCAAGCATGCAGTTTTTGCATTGCACGTAGTAAATTGCACAAACTTGAAAAAGTATATAGTTGTCGTACGTTTGATTTATGTACTTCACTCATAATTTGTAGTTGATTTAAATGGTATTTAAAATAATTTGAAATATAATTTTCGTATCAAGCAAAAGAAGCTTTTTCGAATACATAGAGCTAAGCACAATCAGCATGTTAAAAACTTTTTTTGTATTTCTTTTCGCATAATTTAAATACGCGTATATATTTTATAAAAAAAATATGTGTAGGCCAATATAATATTTCTTGCAGATTACATAATGTCAAAAATTGACGTCGAAAATTTCCATTAATGTACAACTTTTGATTAACATCAGCAACCTTAATAATTCTATAGTATATTTAAAGCACGTTAATTAACCATATAACCTAGATTAAAGATAATTAAAGTGACATTAAAATTTATAATAGCATATATTACACTTAATATCATAATATTCGATCGCCTAATAATATTTTCAACAGTCACTAACCTAGAACAGAAGTTGATCCTAATAAAAAATAAACCGAAATCATTCGAGAACATTATTTTATGCCGTCGTCGAAAGATTTACGAAATCAATTGTGACATTTTCATTGAATAAAATCAGCGTTTTTCTATGGAAAGTTTTCTTATCAATAATACATTCATAACGAAAAAATAAGCAGGGTTGAAATATTTAGACATGTGACGACGACACATATAGTTTTGCTGCAATATATAAATGCAATATTCTTATTGGTCATTAAATTCATAAAAATAATTCATTTATTAATATTATAATTGTATTTTAAGCGGCGTAAACCGATTTAGATAGTTGCCGGTTAATGTCAATATTGATCATCTTCAGTTATTAAAATAAAATTCTCTATTAATACTTGAATAAAATTTCCATTGAACATAATTTTAATGCTTTTCAAGCACAGCGATATTCTAATATCAAAAGAATCTTCAACTAAAAATATTGGACGCAAAAATTAAAAATATCTCACGTAATTCATAATTCATGACTAAGGGAACATAAAAATATTCATAATTAATACTTTCAAATCAAAATTATAAATAAATAAATAATTATAAATGAATTATATTCAATAAATATTTAAATTAGCTGAAAGATTTGGTGAGACTATTTTTGTTGACACCTCACATCAAATCGCATAGCAAATATGAATCTGTAAAATATCTTATAGTTTAAATGTACATTATTTGAGATTTAAGCAATTAGTACGTAATACCAGACATTAAACTATAGTAAAAACAATCGTAATACAGCGCCTACTCCTTACACACTATTATATAACAAATGTTATAATAGCAAACTAGTTTTTCTTTCCTTAAGTTTATAATTGATGCCAAAATTTAGATGCGAGAATCAAAAGCTGCTCAAGTTACGTTATAATAACGGTAAATTATAGAAAAAATTAAATAAATAAAATATAATAAGCGCCCAACGTTTAGTCTACTTTCCACGAAGAGCGCGAAAGACGCTTATAATAATTATTTCATATAGAGCCACTCTTATATTGCTAGTGATTATTAACGACCGATATTATTTTAATATAGAAATTCAATTTGCTCAAAATTTTGGCAAATTTTGAGATCAATATACATAGTACTATATAGGCGTATAAAGCGAGATTAGTGAATGCATAAAGGCTCGAGTCGAACTAATCTTTGTATAAATAAAAAAATAAATTCAAAACAATTACTTCTCTACAACTTCCTTCCTACTTCTCCAATTCCATCTTATCAAAATTAAAAATTCATCATACCTACAATAATCCTTGTCTAGCTAGCAATACACGAGTGTTCATATATGTGAGAATGAACTAGAAAGAATTAATTATTTTTAAGTGTGGAGATAGAGGTTAAACATAGGTGGCCATGGCAGTGCCGCCTGGTGATGTTTGTTGCTGATTCGGGCCGGCCAGCGTTCCACTGGTTGCGGGCTTCAGGTTGCCTGGCACATACTGGCCGATGAATGACCCGTCTTCCGTGAATCGACCTGGGATAAATAAATAGAAGAAAAAATTATAATGATGTATATTATGTTTGATTATCATCCTAATGATAACTTTATTCCCTATTGTAAACACTTAGCTAACCACCCTTCATATATGCAGGGTGTCCCAGAATTCAACGTAAAGCTGAAACAGGGTGACATAATCACTATGAAAATTTTTTTAAAAAAATGGGAAGTTTGAACCTACAACCTAGAGCTCTAGGTTCAAGTTAAACTGTAACCATTATTCGCTGGTTATTGTGATTATATTTTATTATTTTTGTTCATATAAACTTTGGAATTGTAGCCCTAAATAATATTTTTAGGGCCTTAGTAAAAAATAATAACACAATTGGCCCAAGCTTTCCAGAATTAAAACGATTTGTTGAAATGTAAACTTAAAATCTTCAAATTGATAGACTTTGAAAGGCCATCCTTTAAAAAAATGTACTAAAGTGCATGTTTGCACATTAAAAGTTCTCTCGGTTAATCACAAAATAGTACAATACTCGTTAGATTCATACTAAAGAAAAAAACACGTAGAAAGACAAAAACCTAAAGACAAATTTTGTTAGCCTATTTCGCTCACAAATCAGTTCAAAAATTTCCATTTGGCACAGTAAGCTTGTGCAAATAAAAACATGTGAACGGAATGACGTTGAGTTCTGGGACACCCTGTGTATATAGTATATATATATATATATATATATAACTATATATAACTTTAAAATCCAAATTGACTGTACTAAATAAGAAATATTTAGTTCGAACCTATGTATCAGACCAGAAACAATTTGCGAATCATACTACAACTATAACAATAAAAACTACTTCTGATTCTTAAATTTAAATACTTTCAAAATTTAAAGTTTCATATCTAGATAACTAAATAAAATGATATTTCAATAAGCATTTAACATATTTTGATGAATGATCTATAACTATCATAAAGATATGATGAATTTTGATTATAAAATATAGTACCTACGTCTCTGTATATACTAAATCAAATTCATAAAATAAATAAATATCATATATATTTTTACTTATGTAAAATAGTATATATGGAGTATATATAGTGTATTCTACAATAATTCAATATCAAAACTTAAAATTAACCGAAACTAAAATTCAAATTAAACTAACCAATAAACTTGCAAACTAGGACTAATTAAATACTCTCACAAATTAAAATACTATCGCTAAAATCAAATGTAGAAACCATTTGCACAAAGTAATTAAAAAAAAAACTATATATTTGTACTAAAAATTAAAAATTCTCAAATATGTGATACAAGATTCGCTCTTAACATAATCTTTTATTTTGCGACTTCGGCGGTGCCTTAATATCAAAATAAATATAAAAAGCAAATAAAAATATATTATAAACACAAACCTTAAAATGATAATTTAAAGATATACAGAGTATGGAATGTTTCACTAGACCAGTGTAGCAAAACCTGGTGCTGAGTCTGCGGGCGGTACTCTTCCTTTGCGTCCATATTGACCAATGAAAGAACCATCCTCATTCATTCCCTCTATTAGCAAAATAAATACAACAAAAATAAAATAAATGCAAAAACAAAAAATAATATATAACAATACTAATATAAATACAAAACGAAGTAAAAATATTTTCGCGATCGGAATACATACATATATATTATACTATAAAATCACAAACAATAAAACGATACAATATATTTAAATTAAAAATACTGTATACAAAGTAATACTTTTCACTATATGCAACATAAGAGCTTTTCAAACATTTTAGTTCATAAATACAAAAACACAATAAATAAATTCATAGAATAAAATAATTGTATAATACAGCTTAACAACAAAAAATTCATAGAATATTTTTTATCCACTTTCGTCATACGAATAGTGGATTAAATAATGTAGACCAATGAAATTGGTAAAAAAAAAGTTAAAAAAAATCATAGGATCACAATTTCAATAGTCTTTTAAATGAAACACAATGCACATAATTATCTTTATTATACTTTTTTATACATAAATAAACTTTTTACAAACATTATTCATAACATTATATAATAAAAACCGATATGACCGGAGGTTAAGCGTTCATCGCCTTATTTTCTCCATTTTCGTGCTGCAAATCACGAAAATATAAGTATTTAGAAATAATCCAAATTTAAAAATGATTAATAATATTGTGGGAAGCAAAACGGTACCTACCTTGTTTTAGTTAAGACTTGTTATATGCACATAATTCATTAGCATTGTCCTCAGTCAATTTAGTTTTTCATTAACATTATTTCACACAATCACAATTTACAATTATAATTATGATCACTCATAATTAAAACACTTGGTTAGCACTTACATGATTAATTAAAACAAAAATTAAGGATGAAATTTAAAATCACTCTTTATGATTTGAAAAGCTCACACATTTTTTTTAAAGCGACATGTTTTGTTTGGTGTTTCCAAATATTTCCTCTGTATTTGGTTAATTATTGATTCATTCAATGTAAATATGTAGTAATTGATTACCCAGTTTTTAAATATGTTATTGTTTATGCTTTATACTGATTGTATAAAACAGTATAAGATCAGTGTATTATCAATGATACATTTTTAGTAGTACTAGGATAAAAACGATGATCAGAAGAATAAAAACCAGTATCAAGTAATACTATCCATCCGTAAATGACAATGTTATCCAAGCAAAATAATGAAAATTTTGCTACAAGATTAACAAATTACATAACTGACCTGTATCTCCTTCTCCGTATTCTGCCATTGAGTCTGTATCACTTTCTGGACCAACTTTTGGTCCACTACTCATTGATTGTCTTCCTTGAGATTTTCCATCCAAGCTGAAATGAACAAAAATCATATTGCTTTTAGAAAAACTCGGGATACAAGGTGGAAATCTAGGACTGTCTCGACCAAACCGAAACGTATGGTCACATTAAATAATTGTTTATAATAATACTAACGGTTGTGAATATTCATTGAAGCCTGCTTCTTCAGGATAATCCCTGCGGCCGTTTGCTACTTCTCGATCGTGGACATCGTATTTACCACCCCGATTTCGTTTGATTATACAGACAATAATCAACACTAATAGTAAGAAAGCAATAGCCAGCATCATTCCGATAAACCATCCAGCTGTTGCTACATTTTCTTTCGGCTGGATAATTGGCCCTTCTGTAAATGAAATAATTCAAATCTTGTTATAACAGGAAATAATGTTTAAGATTTCCATATAACATTAAAATAAAAGGCATAACTAAGTAGAATAAATCTAGATCTTATTTAGAGATAAAAACTTACCAACTCCATATGTATCAACTTCTTGTACAGGGCTTTCAGTCAAATAATCTCCATCTACAGCGACTACTTTAAATTCGTACATTTCACTCGGCGTTAAACCTCGTACTATTAATGTATCGTCGTCTAATTCTGGTTGTGTACTCAAATACTGTGGCTCGTTCTTTATTCTATAATAAAAAATACTTTATATTAGTATTAACTCTATATTACAATCACAGTATTCAACAATCACATATTACATATGTAATGTAATCGACATGGAATATGTGACATAGCCAAAAATGTTACCTATATTTAGCAAAGAAATGTGATCCTGGTTTGCCATCCAGATTTGGCAGCCAAGTAACTTTTATGTTGGCAAGGCCATTATCTGTTGGCATACGTTCCCATCGGAACGCTGGAACATCTGGAGGAGTTGAGAGTCCACCTCTCGTTTTTTGCTCAATAAAGTACCTGAACAAAAATAAAAAAACATCATTCATATCTTATCAACAGATATCGTATTTTCAAATTAGATCAAAGATCCAATAATAATTATTTTTTATTACCCTTCTCCTTCACCAGCCTTAGTGGTTGCTTTTACATGTAATCGATATTTAGTGTTTGGTTTTAATCCTGCAAGTTTAACGTGGGTCTGTGTAGGGTCGTTGATATGAGGTTCTCGTTCCAAAATTGGTCCCACAGCAGTTCCTTAAAATATAATTCAAGCCATAAAAAATATGCAATATTATTCGCTTTTGTTATGAAATAGCATTATAAATTTCAATTGTCAAATAAAAATAATAAATTTTATATTGTGTAAGATATTTACCTACAACTTCTTGATAATAAACTTTATATCCTGTTAATACACCATTTGCATGTTCTGGTTTCTTCCATGTGAGCATAAATGCTGAAGATCCCATTGGGAAGGCTTCTAATGATTGTACTGTGCTAGGCACTGTAAAATTATAAAATAATTATACGTAAATAAAATCTTGAATAACAATCATATATAAAATTTTAAATTTTGTATTACCTCCTTCGGGTGTATCAAAGCTGAGTGTTTCACTGGGTGGTCCATTGTAACGTCCATTATGAACATACATACGAACATAATTTTTGGCATGAGGAATGAATTTATTGATAAGTGCTCTATTAGCACTTGGTTCTACTTGAATTTCTTGTACGTTATTTTCGCCACCTTCAATCCAAGTTTGAACTTTGTATCCCTATAAAATAAAATAAATTCAGTAGAATTAAAGACAGAAAAACTAGTCATTAAAAATTTGTTGGGTTACATGTACATTCTTGTTATTGATACTTAGACTACTTTTATAAATGAAAAAAAAAATAAATGTAACTATTTGTAAAAAAACAAAATTAATATTTAAGTTATTAAGCTTCTAACCTTCATGTGACCCCGAACTGAATCAGGTGATACAGGATTCCATGCAAGTAATGCTGATGTACTGTCCGTTACATCAACTACTGTGAAATTTGTGGGTGCGGCAGTAGGTTCTGTGAAAATAATTACAGGCATTAAATATGAACATTATGATGAATAAAAACATCTCCAAAATGCATGTATGTCTTATATTTAATTTTAATGAAACTTACTATCCTCTCCTGAATATCCAATCATTTCTTTTGCTGCAACATTTGATTCTCCCTTCTCGTTAATAGCCACAACTTTCACACGATATCTGGAAAAAATCCTTACATTAATTGTCTTATTATCCTAATGTCTTATATTTGAAAATTCTGGAAATTATTTTAAATTCTGACATTACAATTATTAAAAACATACAACAATTTAAAAATTAACACAAATTAATGTTATGAGAAAAAAATTAGGTACCTTTGGTAAGTTGGTTGATCAGGAATAATCAGTTCCTGTTTCTCCCAATCAAAAATGTCTTGGGTATTCCACTGTTCTCCAGGAATATCACGTTTCCAGTATACACGATATTGGAATCCTGGAGCATTGTGTTCAATTTCAGGCATTCTCTGTAGTAAAATTAAAAATTAATACTAGATTTAAGTCTTAAGGCAAATTGCTAGTACATTTCTAATCATAAATAAATGCAATTATTAAATTAAACAATTAAACAAATATCATAAAAAAACTAACACTTTCAAAATCGATTTTCTTTTAGTAAAATTGAACCGAATTTTTTTCTAATTATTCAAATCGTCTGTATTCCATGTAAGTATTATATTACACAAAAATATAAAAAAAAAACTTTTATTTTCGATTTTTTATGATTTATATAATTTATTTTAAGTAATTTTATGAATTACCGTCCAAGATATCCTAAGATTGTCAGGTTGCGTTCCGCGGCCTTCCACGTTATCTGGATTTTTGTATGGAACATCAGGTTGTGTTGTGCACATAGACGACGGGCCTGATGGGCTTGATGGCCCGATCTTGTTAAATGCTATTACACGGAATGTGTAATTGGTCCAGGGACTCATGGCAACCTGCAGAAATTTACAAATTTATCAAAAAATAATCCTTGAAACCAATGAGGTAAGGATGAAAAGTTTACCCACCGTATAAGTCTGATCGGTAGCGGGGACATTATCGTAAGCAATCTCCCAAGTGTCCGGTGTAAAACTAGTGTTGAATTCTATTCTATATCTCAAAATAGGAGCTCTGTTATCTCCCATCGGTTCCCAGTTTATGGTTGTATCTCGGTAGTTACAACGTGTGCCTCTAAGCCTTGGAGCATTAGGTTTATCTAAAGAAGAAAAAAAAATATAATTGACCAGTAATAACATCTAAAGACAGTTAAAAAAATTCTTGAGTTCTTTTTGTTATAAAAAATGTTAAAATTATCAAATTATAATCATACCTTGGACAGTAAGTGTAGCCTGCGCCCGTACTTCATCCAGATCAGTTTTAGCAACGCATACGTATGATCCGGAATCCAACTCGGAGGTTTTAGTTATAGTCAAACTGTGGTCGTTAGTTTTAACAAATCTTGGTCTGGTTTCAAAATCGATTGCTTGTCCATTATGATGCCATTCTATACTCAAATCAAGTGAGCTGTCGCTCACAGCATTACACCTGAAAGTAGCCTGTGTTCCTGCGGCAACTTCGTAGTCTTCTGGTTCATCAGTAATCCTTGTTCGTTCTGAAGAATATTATATAAAATAATTATTTCACTTTACTTAATTATAAAATAATTATTTTACTTCATTAAAACTAAGAATAATGAATAATACGAAAAAATAATTATATAAATATGTTAGAATTATGTAAATGTATATTCTGTTCTCTGCAATCCCTGAACTATTGACCTACTGTCGATTATTTGCACTAGTAGTCGTACTGGATTCACAAAATCGACTAGTCTAGTTAATAATAACCTTTTACTGTGAGAGTTCCAGTTTTCTTATCTTCTCCCAATTTATTGGTGGCATGACAGGTATATTCGCCAGCATCTGAAAATCCAACATCTCTGATCTCCAAATCGCCATTGTCACGAAGATAATATCGTCCACCAGTCAGTTCCAAGCCTGATCGAATCCATTTTACTTCTGGTCTAGGAGCACCAAACACTCGGCACCGAAGAGTTACTACGCGACCATCAACCGTGTATTCATCTAAGGGAGCTTCAGTAATTTCTGGGGCCAGGGCTAAAAGTGATTAAGAAATTATTAGTAAATTTTGGAAATGTCGATGAAAATATAAGATTTACAAGGTAATAAAAAAATCAAAAAGACAAAATGACAAAAATGACAAAAAAATTATATATTGTAATATAAAATGATGATATAAAAATTAATAAATAAAGTATATCCATTTAAGGGGTTGTTCATTAATGGATAACCCCTAATGGATCGTTAGTAATTTTTGAATCCAAGGCTACAAGTAATTTTAAGAAATTATTAGTAAATTTAGGAAATATCGACAATATAAGGTTTACAAACTAATCAAAAAATAATAAGTTATTATGAAAACAAAAAATGTATATATTATAAAATGTATATATTATAAAATTAAAGAAAAAAGAGAAAGTGACTACAAACATTATATCGAACATGCAAATTACTTTGAAATAATCATTGCTATTATTAAAATTCATCCATAAATAATATGATACTCATATATTAATAATTAACATTATTACGTGTAATAAATATTTGCATTCAATTGCAATACATTGGTCACCAAAAAGGATATGTTTCGTACATTAGCTAACAGCTGAAGTAACTGTATTTGAATTTACATGTAAATAATTCAAATAAATAAGAGAATGAATTAAAAAATAGATTCAGTATGTAATTGCATTTTAAAAAAATCATAAACTTACAGTATTTAAAATTATTTTTAAATAATTTATTTTTAACAACAAAAATAATAAATGCATATTTTTAGAATATTTTATAATATAGCATCATTTCACAAAATATAGAAGTTTGATATGTAACACTTCACGGCTTTGATATTATTAATTTGTGTTAATATGCATTTTAAGCAAAGCTCTTAATGAAATTTAGAGCAGCGCTTCGAGTAGCCTGATGTCAAGCAGTAGTGACATTCGTTTTCACTTGTAAATATAGATAGAACAATATGTTTCCAAGCAATAATGGCAATGCAGGCAATGCTGCATGAATAAAAATTTATCACTATTACAGAAAATGTTATAATAAGAATTTATCACATAGAGATGAGAAAATTGTTTGAGTTGCTCTCTATAAAAAACTGACGATTATAGGGAAGAATTCATTACAACAGCTCATATAATCTGTAAGTTCTGTTTACTGTTTAGATAAAATAAAATAAATCGTCGAAAAAATGCCTATCAAGATAACGATGTGCATCTAATTAACCAATTATAAATAGTGATGTCACAAACAAATTTATAGCGACCATCACCTGTGACAAAAAACGTCGAAGTTAATTTATACATCTAATCAAGTACAAAATCAGCGACCTTTTGTCAAGGTAATAAAATTATAGTATCGGAAAAGTATAATCCGTGAAGTCGTAAAACTGAAAAACCTGGACACATATATTGCCAAGTGTTAGTGTTCAAATGTAAATTTGCATGTTAGTAGATTCGATACAATTTGACAATAAAACTGACCGGAAACAACAATAACGGTGTTGGCAATGAATTCAAATTCTGGCTCGTCTTAAAAGCATATGATTATATTAAAATAAACTGTCAGAATGAAGAAATATGTTATGAAATGTGGGCGATGCGTAATGAATTCAGTCTCGGTTTTGTTCGCCTTTACTATATGCCCACATAAATTGCTTATTGATTGAATGAAGAAAAATTGGAATAACACTGATTTTGTTTACTTTTAATGTAAATATTTTGAATTATTAAAAAGATGTTATTTTCTCACTGGTTGATGATATAATTAAGATCTCAATGATTGATAATATAACTAAGAAATAATGCATAATGCAAACAAATTTACTGAAATAGTTTTTTAGTTGTAGATATAGATAGGTTAATTGTGTTCAAATAATTGACTTCACCGCACATATTTAATATTAATAATTTTTGTAAACAAAAAGAAATGTGCAATTATGATCGACCTAAACTTGTTGGTGACTTATGAACCTGTCTCATGTTAATTAGAATATCACTCATTCAACGATGATTTCTATACATTTTGGTTTTGATTATTATTAGCTTTATTTAATCTTTCCTTAATCGCTTATATAATTATATTATTTTGATTGCTATTTATAATTTCAATTTTTTTTAAATTAATATAAAATATGTAAACATTTAACTAACCTAATTTGTGCCTTATTAATTCAAATTCTACAAAGTAAATGTATGTTGTTTTATTATGTGTAGTTCTCTTATGTGAATTATACAAGCGTGTCTTAATTTACTATGATTATTTGATCTTCGCTAACCTTTTTGATTAAAGATAATTATTAATAAGGTTATAAAGTTATGCTGGATTATGGTGGTTTATAACTCATATCTTGTTAGCATAGTTAATAAAATATAATTGAAAGTAAATTTTGAAATAAAAATTATAAATTAATTATTTATATTTATATTATGATTATTAATTTAATTATTATAGGCGAATGTAAATGAAACCTTTGATACCGTTTAGTTACTAAACTAAACTTTAGTATATATTGAAAGTAGTTAGTAGTATAGTTTTGTTTCATTATTTGTTAATATATTTCAAACTTGATACCTAACGGTTATCATTCATTATAACTTTGCCATGACTCTATATATACATATGTGCAAATATATATATTCTTAAGAATTTAGCAGACAAATGGTCGAAATAAAAAAACTATAAGTACTTGAAATTATTCAATCTATACGATTTGATACTTTGTGCTTGTAATCATTTAACAGTTTAAAAAAAAAACTTTATAGAATTTAATAAAAAAAATTGAAAAAAATTGATTCTAGTTCGTATTGGGAAATTATTGAGCAAGTTATACATATATGCAGAAGCTACATCATTTTATAAATTTTTCTTTTGTTTTTACTTGAACTTAAACTTCAAAAATTAAATTAAATTTTCAAAAAATGTTTATGTTTATTTAAGTTCTTTCGGGTAAGGTATGCGTGTTGTTTAAAATTTTCAGAAGAATCTTTATAATTTTTTTGTAAAAATGTTTAAATCATTGGACTATTTCTTAAAACTGCTGAATGATAACATACATACAGTGTTGAAACGTACAGAATGAACAATTTCAATTATTAATCGCTTTTTATACCGCCAACTGTGGCTTGAAAAATCTCAAAAAAAATGTTTCAACGTCGAGCAAAGAATTTAAAGTTTTAAATTAAATAAAATCCTAATTGTTTATAATATCTGATGTCTATTCTACTCCGGCTACCAAAATCAATTTAATATTAAATAAAATCACATCATGCAAATCATAAAGCGCACTATATGACACATAATTGAACTATTAATGCCAACATGCAATAATCTCAACTCACCCAGAACGTTGACGTAAACATCCTTGTAGACATAACCCAAAGAATTAGTAGCGTTACAACCATAATTGCCAGTGTCTTTCTTATTCAATCGCTTAATAACTATGCTGTTGGAATTAACAATTCTTCTATTATTGGGTGGTGACTGTGAAATGGGTTTTCCGTTGTGGATCCACTGGATGTCTGGTTCCGGAACACCGGAGGCTTCGCAACGGAACTCGATTGTCTCGTCTTCCGCGGCATTCTGGATTTCCGGTTCGGTTGTGAAGTACGGATGGGCTGAAATAAAATAAATATAGTTTTAATAAAGATAGTTTATTATTTTTTCCTGGAATAAATTAACGAATTTTATATTTTTCTTCATATATTGAATAATATAAAATAAAACATTATTCAACTAACCCAAAGACAAATGTTTATATAAAGACTACAATAAACCTTATAAAGAATATAATATGATATAGCTTAGCCTTAATAATGAATATAATATCATATAGATTCAAATACTTATGTGCAATATTGTTATTCACTAAAAAATTCCCTGTTGTCGTAAATTGCTTCGAAGCCTATTATTTGATTAAATGTAATTCTAACTTAAGTTAGTGTTTACAATAGTAATTCATTGATGTGCTCGAACAAAAGGAACCCATGTTCATACCATTTTTTATTAACATTCCATCAGTCTTTTAATTAATTTATGATTGCATTTATATATTTATAATTCATTGAAATTAATAATATTATATAAATGATATTTTCAATAGACAATTTAGGACTTCAAACCAAAATTTATGTATAATTATTCGTTTAAATGTATGTATAATTATTCGTTTAAATTTATGTATTTAAGATTACGGACGATCGATTTCAATAATCTAAAATTGCTTTTAACATAAATTAATTGATCTATAAGAAGTTGATTTTTTTTAATAATTGATTCGATTTAAGAATTATTGTTATACATGTTTTAATATTTATATTAAAACTAGATATTTAAAAGAAAGGAATTATGTATACGATTTAGAAATTCAACACTTTTTATGATAATATAAAGATAATAAATTAATTAATTTATATTAAAAGCAATATTTTAAAATTTATACTTGTTTATCTATGATTATAAATTATTAGAATCGATGGTTGGTAAATTTTATATACACTTTTTTGTTAAGATAAAAAACATACACAATAAATAATAATAGTTCATCGGCATTTGATTCTTAATTACGCGCGAGCGTGTACTTGCTCAGGTTTTATCAACTTTTGAATGTGTTCTACCACGTGGACTAAAACTAAATTTTGCATAGCATAAGAAAAACGAATAGCCATTCTAACATTGCTTATTAAAATTAGTCCAAACAACCGCACTACCCAAAAATTTAAAACAAAAAAATATTTTCACTTTTTCATAAACTAACAAATGAATATTTAACAATATTTGTTATTAATAATAGAGTTCACACCGATGTGAATAGAATGGCGTTTGTCGATACCTTTTACAGTTGTGACAAAAAGTGACCCTGAAAAAGGAGGCCACTTTTGCATATTTCCAATGATATCTCGGCCAAATGATGAGCTAGCGAGTTGAAATTTAGTATATCGTATTTTTTCGAAAAAAAGCTATAAAATGGCGTCAAAATCAATTAAATGCCAGGGTGGGACCAATTCTGTATGGAAACACGATCAGACCCTTTGTAACATTTTATTTTGGTTCAACTACTCGACTTTAGTCAAATATTGCTTATAGTATTGAATTTGGACATCTTCCAGTATTATAAGAAATATATTTATGTAAGATGAAATTCAAAAAATTCAGGATGAATAACAAATAATGTGTCATCTGATAATCGTTAAAAAAGAATTATCTAAAATTATCAATATGGGGTTGATTTGAGAATTAATCTTATACATATTTTAATTTATATTTTATAAAATGAAGTCATAGGCTAAAGCTAGAATGAGATTATAGATTTACCATAGTGTAGTGGAATTTTTCTTACCCATAACCCTCAAATTAACAGAGTAACTCTTGGCACTTCCAACACCATTACTAGCTTCACAAGTGTAGCTTCCTTCATCACTGAATGTAACATGTTTTATAAGAAGTGATTTCCCATAATTCCCTTGTGATACCCTGTCTGTAGACTGTATTCGACGGCCGTCTTTGTTCCAAACAATCTGAGGTAGAGGCCTAAAAATTAAAATAAACAATTCAAACTATCATTTGATACACATTATTACGTTTTCATTATATAATCAATATTAAAAATTATAAGAATCAATCATTGGTATGTATAGTAAATTAACTTTGCAATATTCTACCAAATTTCCTTTTTTTACTAAAGGTGATATAGATCCTTATTGAACGTAATCTCCAAATTAGTCTGATGTCAAAAAACATTTAAACTGTATCGTTTTCTACTTACGTTCCTCCATATATGCAATACAATTCTACTTTTTTCCCTCTCAAAGCTACTTCGTTTTTTCTGGTCACGTACTGCTGCACTGGTTCATGTCTGTTTTGTGCAGGTGAAACACCAGTCTGGACAACGTTGAGTCGAACACGATTGCCCAATTTATATTCATTTCGGAAGACTGAAGTAGCGGCACAGGCATATGTGAAATCATCACTTGCATCCTGGCGAGTTACATTAGAAAACCTGAAAAGAAAAAGAAAAATGTGATAAAAACTATGAACGTCAGCTTTGCTTTATAATCTTAAAGATTTAATTATGGATATAGCCAGAATTATTCAATAAAGGAAGAAAGATTATAAAAATTAATTTAGCACCTTCATAAATTTTAGTTAAGATGACAAGTGTTAATTATTATCGATCAAATAGGTGAACCTTGGCTGCTTCTGGCCAGGTTCATAATAAACAATATGTGCATTGATAAGTATGGTATCAATTATTTTATTGCATAAAAAGGAAGTCGCCCTTCTGCAAAAATAGAAAGATTGATTATTCTGGATAGGCTATAGAATACATTCATTGAATGAATATTAAATGAATATTGAATAAAAATTCAATATTAGAAAGGTTAAAAAGTAGGATAAATTTTATTCTAATTTTCAACCTTTCTGATGAATTAATTCGGTGCTTGCATAATTAGAGTATAATTATAAAAAAAATATAATTTCTTGAAGCAGTAATTTTAATAAGAATATATCAGTGAGTAAATTATCGTATGGTATATAAATGAGTTTATTATGCACCCAAATATTAATATAAAATGTATTAAAATTTTAATTTGTTGTAAACTAAATTTACATATCTTTAAAATAATAAAATATAAAAAAGAGTTCAATGTTTGACGTTCAATTTCTGGATCTTTTACTTGACTCTGGTTATTATTTTATTAAGAGTAGCGTAGTTGCTGTATTTTGAATATTAATTAAATATGTACTTTAAAAAAAATAGTGATTCAATACTCTAATAAAATAGGTCTGAAAAAATTATTGCAAAATTTTACTTTGTACAAAAACCTGATAGTTCCAATTCTTTAATGCAATTTATGTATGCAACGCAACAAAAATTGTTTCCTATTAGATAATATATCAAATATTCTATGGGTATCGGATGGGTGTAACAAATGGGCGTGTTATTTTTATATGTGATGTAGATTATACTGTTTGAATAGTCAAATAAAAACTTTCCAAGTTAAGAAGATTTTTATAAGTTGAGTAGATAACAGGTGTATAGGGTTCTCCACCAGTTACCACCATATTAGATTAAATATTAGCACATCTTATATTTGAAATTTATTTAAAATATACAATTTTAGGGCGCATGCATACTATATAATAAGATTATATATATATATATATATATATATATATATTAATATTAAATTAAATAAAAACAATTAACTTGGTAGCTATAATCAACGATAAGGACAGTAGACCCCTGTCAGACTTTAGAACTTTCTAGCAAACAAAAACAATAATTACAATATAATAATATGAAATAAAAACAAAACTACAACAAATGTTGCTTAAAAATTTACCAATCTGATGACAACCAAACTAATTCACATATTTAAATAATATACGTATATACCAGACTCTAAGATAAAACAAAATCACTAAATTATTATTTTTTAAACAATTTTGTGTTCTATAATACTATAACAATTACGTGTTCTATAAAATTAAAAGATATGTATATAGGTTGTTCATACAATAATGCGAGGTAGGCAAATGACATTTATGTAAATAAAGAAAATTCATTACTCAAAATACAATAAAATATTATGAAAGCTAGTAGAAATATTGATAAAACGTCAGTCTATAAAGAAAAACTCGAATCTATTTTTTCCGTTGAAAGTTTTGTAATATATGTGGTCAAAAAAATATCTATGCCATATGTTACAGCTGACCTACAAATGATTAAAATAATACAACAAACCAGCTGCAAAACGACATATGTAGGGACTTTGTACGAATAGACGAAACTCATGTGGTAAATTTATAATTATCATGAATGTAGGTCATTATTATAGTTTTAAGCATTTTTAAAAATTAAAAAATATTAATTAAATTAAAAGAAATATAAAAATAGTCTGTCAAATAACTTAAATATAGATGGCTTGATTTCACTTAAAAAATCAGACAAAAGAAGTAGTACAGAGTTTGTTGAACAGATACTCACACAACAAGTTAATTATAATATTAATAATTTTTGAATAATTAACCCTTTTCACTCGCGAATTCCGAGATTTATATGAATTTTGCAGTCGGAGCGGCGGCATCCGAATGGAAGGGGTTAATCTAGCTTTAAATAGGATATTCAAATTTTCAATAATAATTAACCATTCAATGTCGGTCGACAAATATTATTATTAACAATGAATGGGTTCAGGTGTTCCAAATAGTCTTCATCAAATCAATGATTTCTCAAATATCATAAGCAAATTCAGATTATGAATTAATCAAATTTTCTTGTTAGTAATTGGATGTCAATTCTGACAACGTACCATAGATTTCCCTCGGGATCCAGCGTCATCCGACTGTTGTTGATGCTTTTAATGCCTCCATCTGAGTTCTGAATGAGCCAGTATACATTTGGTTTTGGCCAACCATCAGGAGGTTGACATGTCAATTTGAAAGGGTCTCCTTCGGAGGCTGTCACTGTCTGTAAGCAGAATATATCGATTAGATGGTATATTAATGGAGTATAATAGTTTCTGCTAATTATTAATAGTTCAAGAAATAATTTCATCAAGATTCTTGATGAAATTATTTCTCGATTTCAAGCAAGAACGCAGATGATATCAGAATGCTTTATTTATTGGATGCTAATTCATTTCAAAAGAATTATCTACTCTTGAGAATGCCAAGAAATGCCTCATAAAGGTAAAGTAATCGATCAAACGGTGAGTACATAATACTGAAAAATTCAAACAAATTCAGAAAAAACTAGCTGTAAGTGGAATTCTGTCTTAAGGCAATTAGGGCATCGTGCCTTAAGGCAAATTGCTGGTACTTCCCGTACCAAAAATTATTATTTTTTTTTAAAACGATTAACATTTTTGAAATAAAATTACTTTGAAAAAATAAGATTTTTGAGAAACTATAAATTGGACAAAAAATTAGTTTTTTTTGAAAAAAAAAAAATTTTTTTTAAAAAAATTTTTTTTTCTTTATTTTAACATATTGTGGAAGATCTGAACTTTTTTTTCAAAGCAATCGTACTGCTTTAACTACATAGGGACAAAATATAAAGCGCGTAAGCGCCGCGTCGCTGTCTAACGCATAAGCATTGGTACGGAACCGATAGGAATGTTAACAAAATGTATACTTATTGTTAAAATCTCTATAAAATGTCTGATAATTTGATGTGCATATGTCTAATGATCATTTTTGACCGCCAAATGGCTCATTTTTTTACATTTTCCTCTATATCTCCGAAACCGCTGGACCTACCTTCATGAAAGTTGTATCGATTCTTCATCTTGTCAATACAAATAAAACGTTTTTTGAATTATTAAAATCGGACGCTCCGTTCTCTTAAAAACTGAGTTACCGTTTTCGGAACTTTTTGCCCCGTATCTTCGGAACGGCTTGACCTGCCTTTGCCAAAAACTAATCAGCACGTCTCCTTATCAATACGGATCGAATGTTTTTTGAATTATTCAAATCGGTTGATCCGTGTTCCCGAAATCGTCGACGAAAATTTGTATCCGCACATACATACACACACATACATACATACATACACACACACACACACACATTTGCTGACATTCCGTGAACACTTGGAACGCACGTGTACAAGGGCTAGCAAGACTGTGTCTAGTCTATCGAGAATCATGGCCAATACTATCGGCCCACGTGCCAAAAAGAGAAGAGCTCTCCTGGAGGTGGTTCACTCAGTTCTGCTTTACGGAGCGGAAATCTGGGCGCATACATTACAACAGAAGACGTATCGTAAGAAACTGGCAGCAGTGCAGCGGCGAGGAGCACTTAGAGTGGCTTGTGCCTATCGCACAGTTTCCGAAGACGCAGTGCTTGTTATAGCTGGAGCTCCGCCTATAGACCTTTTGGCGAATGAAAGGGCCAGGTTGTATAACCTCAAAAAAGGAGGCCTCAATGCCAGCGAAGCGAGGGCAATGGTGAGAAAGGACACCCTGAAGGAATGGAAAGTAAGGTGGCAGGCGTCTGATCGTGGTAGATGGACAGCACGCCTGATCCCTAATATCGAGGCCTGGCTCGACAGGAAGCATGGCGAAACAGACTTCTTTCTAACTCAGATGATGACGGGTCATGGCTCGTTCAATGCATATCTCTTCAGGTTCGGTTTGCACACATCACCGACGTGCAAATACTGTCCGGAAAAAGCCGACGATGCTGAGCACACCTTTTTTAAGTGCACGCGCTGGAAGAACTTCAGGGCTGACACCGAATTGTCCCTGGGAAGGACCCTTAATCCCCAGAACATTGTAAATACTATGCTGCAAAGCAAGGAAAACTGGGCCGAGGTAGCAGCTTATGCACGGCGCCTCTTGACAGCAAAAATCGCCGAGAGGGACCAATAAACTTAGGAGCTAACGTCACGTGACGCAACATGGACTGGGTTGAAGAAATGCTAACGCGGTTCCGACCCAGTCTTCCTCGTGATCATATGCGGGGAAATGAGGAGAGGAGGTTTTTTAGTGGGTGGAAATCCCACACTACCGTCCATCATCTTTTAAACACACGGTGTCTTTGAAAGATTTTTCCTCCTCTATAAAAAAAAAAAAAAAAAAAAAAAAAAAAAAAAAAAAAAAAAAAACACACACACATACACACACACACCCACACACACATACATCCATTTTTTCTAAGGTATGCCAAAATGTTCAGAAACCTCTGAAACGTAAAGATATATAAAAATTTTCATTTTCGATTTTTTTGCGATTACTATAACTTGCCCTACGGGAAGTTAAAAAATATATATTAACCACACAGTTTATGTTAAAGTTTCCAACCTGCGGGGCGCGCCTACAGAGGGCGAATATAACCCAAAATTTTTAAATGATATTAGAAAATTAACAAAAAATAATTAGTTTTTATGCATATTTTTACATAATATTGCATATTAAATTGTAGTCTGATTTGTTGGAAAAATTGAGGAAAGCATTCATTAAAACATTTTTTTATGAGAGCGGGGGGGAGGGTAGCGTTGCAAAAAAGGTTGAAAATCACTGTTTTAGCATCTAGTTGGCAATTTAATTATAGAAATTCAATGTCCAACGCTTAATTGTGTACTCGAACCAAAGCTTCCATTTATCTAAAAATGTCGGAATTAATCATGTATTGAAGTACCCATCAATAAATTTAAACATTTAATTATTCATATTACTAATAAATTTTTAATATTTCTATACATATTTCTATTTCTAATCCTACTAATTAAAATTAAAATTCTGAAGTTATAGTCATTTATTAAAATTTAAATATTTTTTCTAAAAATATGCAGTTGATCTATTATGGCTAGTTTTAGTAAAACTCAAGGTCGAGATGACAAATACTAGAAAACCTGTTCTATGAAATATTAATTAATCTATTCTATTTCCAATCACAATTGTACTTCTTAGCTATTATTCATATAAGATGAGATAAATTAACAATATATATTGAACATATATCACAAAATCATTTTTATTGTGTTTTCACTACATGATCTCATCACAAGATTATAAATGAGAACAATTAGAACAAGCAACGTCTTCTGTTCTTAATCGTCCATGTTAGATATTAGATTTATTATCTTTGTAAAGTATTTATGGCATATATTTGTTTTGCTAACAATATATAATCAATGGTTTAGTTTCCGAATATATTAAACACATCCTATGTTTCGAGACGTTTAACTTCATTCAACGACGGAATGTAAATAAGATATTAGATTCCAAGTATCCAGAGTTCAAATTTGAGTACACCGACCTCACTAATACTTAAAAAATATTGGTATCGATAAGTATTATTTATTACTGAAAATAAATTACTATGCATTTTTATTTATTGATGGAAATAAAATAAAGACTCTTTAAAAGTGACTAGACAGAACGTTTATTTAAACTCAACAGTTTAGTCTAGTAAAGCAAAAAAAATAATAAAGTTTTTGAACCTAAAACAACACTTTTTGATATTTTTATGATTTTAGTTTCTCAGTTTACTTCGATCGATTTTAAAACACACGAAAGTGACTTGTATCAAAATGTTGCTTTTCACTTTCTTTGACCTTGAATACCAAAAATATAAGAGGCGGCACGAAATCAATGTCGATTATGTTTTCATATACGTATGGCAACTGTTTTTGTTCTGACAAAGCTTTATTTGAAAAGTGTTTGAACAGAACATTTAAATATATAAATTATAAATTCTTTTCAATCTATTTTGCATAAATGGCTTGTCCGCGTTAATATATTTTCGTGGTTCGTGGCTCAAGTGATGAAAATTTTGGCCTTGCAACTTGCAACCACAAGGTTCTAGGCTGGACGATTAGGATAGAATGTCAGTCCTTCTGTGTGTCTGAATGCAAAAAGCTTTATTATTATTTTCTGGTATAGGGATATATTGGTGTCCTGATGTATGTCCAGTTTGGTCCACGCGTTGATATAAATTTTCAAGATTTTATTTTGAAATCGTTATAGTTTTACTAGCGCAATCCAAAAAATTGAATAGCATATGCCCACGTAGGTATTCAAATGGTCTATAATGGTTTTATTGTAGGTTAATAAATTGGATCTCGATCCAAAGAACCGATAAACTTTCCTCAAGTCGTTCCAAATTGACTTTTCTTTACCATGAAGTGCATTTTCCAATTTAACTTTTTGTTAAAAGTATTTGACAAAGTTCTCTTGAAAAATTAGCCCTCCATAAATCGAAATGGAAGAGAAGTTATTTCTTCTAAAAGAATATTTTCTAGAAATAATCTCATTTCTAATTATTCTAAAAAATAATATGACAATAGTTCATAGAACACATGCGGTAAGTTCTGATAGCAATTGATAAATTGAATAAAATTACATATATGGATAGTAGTAGGGAGGCGTCCATTAATCACGTGATCGATTTTTTAAAGATTTTTGGACCTAGTAATATTCTAAATTAACCTCACCTCTCCCCCCCACCTAACATCCGTGTATTTTTAGTTACAAGAAAAAATTGTAAAATTTTGGAATTTTTATTGAAAATGTTTGGATTTTTTTTAAATCAGAAAAAATAAATACACGTGATATTTTACTAAACCCCTTCCTCCCCCTACGTACTTATTCGTGATTTTTGTCAACCCCTCCTCCCCTTAAAAACCTCAAGTAATAAATGGAAGCCCCCTATTAAGAAATTAATATTGCGCGTATCAATAACTATTATGCAAAGAAAAACTCTTCAGAATCATTAGATTGCACTATTTGTATTCCAACAACAAGTAATAATACATAAAATAAAATTTAATTGTAAGCTATAAAAATTATTGAAACCGTGGTTTTTTCTTATTTTTAACAGGTCTATAAGCTGCTGTAATAATCCTCAACAACGTCGCTTTTCAACCCAACGGTTAATCTATATCTTCGGTATATTTATTTTTAGAAATTTTTAATACTGATGATATTGAAAATCCGATGCTTCAATGCCCGAGAAGAGCTATTT